GTTTGTGAGTTTGTGTGTCCTTCTCCTCAGTGGAGGTGTTGTTGTTGTGTCTGGAGGCACATTGTGTCACTGATGTGTCATTTCAAGAACTTCCAACTGGACTTTATGGAAAACTCAAAACAATTGTTGGAGTATTTTTATATCTCATCTATTTAACAGGTTTGTGAGGTAATGGAGAAAACATTATGCCAGCGATGGTCCTCACAGAGATAGAGAAGATAGGTGTGTGTGTGTCTGTGTGTGTGTGTGGGTGGGTGGGTGTGTGTGTCTGTGTGTGTGTGTGTGTTGTGGCCTTCAGGCTCTCTACACTGAGCACTCTGTTCTCTCACACACACACACTCGTTCAGCTCAAGTATCACTTGTGTTTAAACAGTGAAGCAGTGTGTGTGTGTGTAGCTGTGTGTGTGTGTGTGTGCATATGTGTGTGTTTGCGTGTAGCTGTGTGTGTGTGTGTGTGTGTGTGTGCTCTCTTCACCCTCTCACTTCATTCACACTGCAGCTGCTGATGTTTCCAGATGTTGAACCAACAGCAGCAGCTCGTGTCGCAGCCTGCAGCCCTTCTGCAGGTTCAACACTCACATGTTACTGAAGCGTTCTGTCTGATGGTCACTTTAACTGAGTGAGGCGCTGCATTTATGAGCTGAACCGTCCTGCAGGAGGAGGTCGGGGTGGAGGAGGCCACACACAGCTCTACAGTCGATCACCAGACGCTGTTACTGATGTTTTAGTGTCTGTTTTCAGAGCAACACTTTGGTGGAAAGAAACCGAGTTTGACTCGTTGACATGTTGTTAAAATAAATTGACTGTAGTTGGTTGTTGTTCGCTGAGAGTATCGGTATCAAGAATGGTCCAGACGATCACACCTCTGGAGAGACAACGACTGCAAATGTAGCAGAGTTCATGATTCCACTTGCCATCACTTCTCATAACACAATTATTTGCCTTATTTATGTCAGGATTAAACAACTCACAGCCGTGCATTATATGGTTTGAATGCACTTAGCGGAGTCTCAAATACTCCGCTAAGTGCATTCAAACCGTATAATGCACGGCTTCGAGTTGTTTAATCTGCTTGTACCATGGTCGCACACAGCGAGCAAACACACAAAATATTTATTTAGTTAATAGAACTTGCCTACGTTTTTGGGACTGTTTTATGCAAGTCTCAGAGCGCCGTTGAAAGCGAGTGATATAATCGTGATTTAACTTGCTGAACTACGTGTGCATATACACAAAAATAATGCACGCCAGTTAGCCGTAGAATTCTGGCTGACTGTGGTATAAAATGTTTTAATGTCCCCACAGGGACTGGACGTACGTTGGTGCCCTCTGCTGGGCCCCTGCAGACTTGAGCGCTGCGTTCTGCGTTACTTTGCCAGTCTGCTGTGTCCCGTCTCCGTGTAATTCCCGGAGCTTATTGTCATGGTGACGGCTGTGAGACCTAACATCAGTGTCCTTTACCAGCATCCTGTAAACCTGTGAATAAACGGCTAGTGGGAGCCAAAGAATGAGCGATCTGGATTTGGTGTATCACACAACACANAGAAACACTGAGATGCATGAGGACACACTTCACAGTCTGGAGGACATCACACCTCATCTGTGTGTGTGTGTGATTGTTGAGCAACTGGACACACACACACACACACACACACACACGGTTGTCATGGTAACAACAGGCTGCATGCTAACAGGCGGTCAGCCTCCTTCTGTCTGTTTCTTAGTCAAACAGTAGAACCTGGCAGACAGACGGAGGCTGCGTTTTCCTGCACAGGCGTGACCCTCAACGCCTCACTGCCTCCTGCTACAGAGCAACCAGGAAGAGGCGCAAAATGACCACAAAGAGATGCACAACAACTCAGAAGAGGTGCAAAAAGACTGCAAAGACACAGAACAACTGCAAAAAGACGCAAAATG